ACTTATACATCACAGTCAGAGCCTATCAACAATTACTGGGACCTGCTAGTACAATCAGTGTACAGACCTTATCAGGTATTAATTGCTATTGGCTATCAGTTTTATGAGTACCAGTATGTGTCTTTGTATAGAATATCTATCTGGTCCAGTTGGTCAGTATCCAGTATCATGGACACTACATGGGCTGTTATCTCATGGAGTGTACCTAGTTATATTCCACCAGACTATCCCATTATCACTTATGAGATAGGATATCATATTCTTTTTAACAGGCTTTGCTGTTCAATGGTGAATGACAATGACATTGATATTCATATGTCACATCTCTATAATTCAACCAGTGACAGTACATTTATTAACATTACTGGTCTTAATGATAAGTCTTGTTATATTTTTGGTGTACGTGCATACACTGATAGAGGACCAGGAAACTGGAGAGTTATTGCTAATGAGACATTGATCAGTACTCAATTTGTGACTTTAACACTAGTACATGTACTCACTAGTACAAGTACAAGTACTAGTACTCAAGAAGTATGCATAGGATCAACTAATACAGGTATGATAGTCTATAAATTTCAAAATATTTTTGGATACCGAATCATTTTTTAATTTTTTGATAATAGCGTCTGAATTTGTTGATAATATTAGTATTGGACTGGTTGCAGTGGTTGGATTATTATTGATATCACTAGTTATTAGTATTATTATTCACATCTACTGCTTAATCAAGTATGATACATTATTCAATACTGTAATGTACTATGCATTTACATGTTATTTATGTATAGGCTTAAATCCTATTATACAGTCGCTAATAAAGAAACAAATAAGTAAGCAGTTATTAGTTGTACATTATTATTGTTTTATATAGATTCAGTGTTGATGCTATACCAATGCAAGCATGTGAACCCTATGGAATACACAAGGCTAAAGAAATTACAAGAGAGGCAGTATATGAAGATATCAATGTTGATGAAGCTATATATGAAACATAGCAACCTCTAGTAACTGCTACAACTAATGTTTTCTGTCCTTAATTTACTGTTACTGTATGTGTGCTAATATTAATAGTATTTAAAGTAATTTTTATGAATTCCTGTTGAAATCAGCGCTAAGAATATATTATATTAACAATTAGTGTTTTACTGTAGCAGACAGTAGGTAATAAACCAGATTGTGTCACATATACAATTGTAAATACTATAATAGTAGATTTAGCACTATTACTAAATTTGTATGTACTTGATTATACAATTGGTGTTGCTTAATATTGACTCGGATACACATACACTCCCTTGGGCAAGTTCAGAGCTGTCATAGATAATACATATACAATGTAATAATAACTTAAAATTATGGCATGAGAGCACAAAGCATTTGGGTTGTTGTGGCTGTGGTAATAATTGAAGTACCCTTTAGCTGTACCCCAACAATACATGGGTCAGCTCATTTACAGGAATATCATTACATAGATTCCTTACCTTACTATATAGTAGCCTGTAACTATGTAAATTTTGTGTAATGTGCACAATGTAGCAAAATATTTAAGGAATTTTCAATGTTTATCAGTGTTTAGCCATGTTTACCACTGTATATCAATGTTTACCTCTTTTTACCTATGTTCATCATACAATTTACCTATGTTATCAATGTATATCAGTATTTACCTATGTTTATCAATGTTTGTGAATGTTTATTAGTGATGTTTACTGTTGTTTACTAATTTTTATCATGTTTACCATGGTTAATAAAAGCGCTTTTAATGTTGATGTTTACCATGATAGCAGTGAACTTAAGAGTTTGGATAAATGAAGCTTTGTATGTCTTTAGTATGCCTACTTAATAAATGCATAGTCTCAATGATTAAGTTTCTTAAATAATGCATTTTGGTTCCTTGTCACTCTCTCTTTTATGCTATGAGCATCATTTGAGTCACTGAAGGACTTGTTTCTTGCCTATTGCACTTGAGACAAAGATGCCTATAAACTATTCTTAGACAAAACACAGTGAATGTGGTCAGAGTAAATCTAACACTACTATGATCCTAATCTGATTATAGTATAGCTTATACTAAGGTTTGATAACACACCCACAAAAATAGTTGCCATTACTCATAAACATTATGATAGTCACTATTGTACAATTGCACCTGTTGTACTCTGTATTCACAAATCACACTGTTGTTACTGTAACAGATTTCAATGTCCATTTTTGATGTTACCTTTTATTCTGTCATTCTGCTTTTCAATTAATCAAACTACATGAATATACATTAATCATTCATTGATGAAACTGAGGTAAATAATGTTTTACTTACATTTTTAGCTCCTTTATTTGATTCTCTTTCTGTGGCTGCATTTTATTAATTTTGAGAGCAAAACAGCTGCTTTCTTAGACTGGAAAACTGAAGAATTAAATAATTAATAAAACATGCAATAGAATCGCTAAAAATAGCTAGATTTTAAGGATGTTTGTGTGTTCGTTTTGAAGGAGAGATTATCAAACAGTTATTATCATAAATTATTAATAGTGAGAAAAAAAGAGAGAAAACGGATGATGAGTGAGAGTAAAAATGTACAAAACGATTAGTTACAATGTAATTGTTTTCAAGTTCTTCTAATAATATATTAATGACATAATAGATCTACTACAGTATAGTGGATTAGTGCACAATTATGCATGTCACACCCACACTTGTTTATTTTATCAACATGGTAAGACTACAAGTGGTTGCCCTCTTGCTGAGTGTCAGTGAAGTTATTAGTCAATGCCCACCTTCCTCAGGTAAGACTCTGGATGTGTATAATAACAACTGTATAGGTTTTTACAGGTATCTACCTGAGATATAATGGAAACTGTTATCCTAATGGATCATATTTTTGGGATGCTAGGATCAAATCAACGTCTGTAGAGTGTGTATTACCTGGTGCTACTCTGAATGGTGGACAATGGATTGGTCCTAATGGAGCAGTTCCTTGTGATGGTGGAGACAATGCAAATGTTCAATGTACCACTGGGCCTGGTACTAATCTCAGTGTTTTCATAAATCCATCAAACTATCTTGGGGCACCTGGTGATGGCTGGTACAAGTGTTGTCTACCCACTAACTGTTCAGATCCTAACACTAACATCATCTTTGCTAATATATTCAGTAATTAAGAGTAGACTATACCAGACGTAGCACATGTATACAAGATACACGAATATCTACACAAATTTTCAGGCTCAAGTAGATAGTGGTAGATAGAGGAGAGCAGCCTAAAATTGTCGCCTTTATTTTCAGATATTTCATGTATTATATCTATACTAAAATAATCATCTGAAGACTGTTTCCTAATGCTTATTCTTCTGATTTTAGTGCTAATCAGGCAGGTAGCCATTGTGCATTTTTTCTTTTCAACAGAACACATTCTTTTGTATGAAATTTTAGTGCCCACATGGCTTTTATCATGAGTAGTCTAAATAACTGCCATGGAAGATTTCATGCGACACTTTTTGCATATTTTAGTAGACGAAAATATGCAAAAATACACATCTACTTACAAAGTAAATACAAGTAAATACCAGTTAAAAAAATTAAAATACAAGTAGATACAGAGTAGATAGAATTTGAGTAGATGTGCTATGTCTGGACTATATAGATTTAATAATGTCTTTATTTGTAGATTTTGCACAGATAGAATCATTTACTGTTGCTGATCTTCCTTCTGATATGACAATATATCCTCAGGAATACAAACTCAATTGTACTAAAATTGGATATCAATACTCTTACAATATTAGGATAGGCTTTGATAATACTACATTGGCTAGTTACACTGGATGTGTTAATAATTGTCCTGGTACTGTGTTGGATATTTTTAATTATAAACTAAGATATACTGTTAATATCACATGGGATGGAATGACTATCAGCAGTGGATCAATTAGTCAATCAACCACTGGAGATCAAATGTATCAGTGTGTACTGGCAGTTACTAATCAACCAACTAGGATACGTAGTATAACCATAAAAGGTAGCAAAATAGATTTGATCTTAATAATAATATTATTAAATTACATATTTTTATAGTACCAGATACTGCTCCCTCTTCTCTTGCTGTGGTCAACAAGACAGCTACCACTATCACTGTCAGTTGGACTGCACTTGATTCATCTGATGCTGATGGATTTGTAATCAATGTCACTAGTGACACAGACACTGTGCAGACAGTACAGGTGGAGGGAAGTAGTAATAATACAATCACACTGAATGGATTGAGAGAAGTAACAACTTATAGTATAACAGTCAGAGCCTATCAACAATTACTGGGACCTCCTAGTACAATCAGTGTCTTCACTCATTGTCAGCAAGGAGGTATTTGAAATTTATATAGATCTATTAATGTTGATTGATTTTATAGGTATTTATTTTAAACATAATGGAAACTGTCATCAAAATGGATCATATTTTTGGGATAACACTGTCAATGCAGTTACTGAAGCTATATCATGTGTGTTACCTGGTACTAGTCTAACTACTGGTCAGTGGGTTAGAGTTGCTGATCCTGATGATCCTGTTGACTGTAACAGTAATAATGCCAATGATCCTTTTCGTTGTACTTCTGTCACTTCACCTGATGCTACTCTCAATCTTTATCTTGCTCAGGGACTATCAGGAACTCAAGAAGGCTGGTACAAGTGTTGTCTACCCACTGATTGCTCTGCTTTTAGCACTAACATTATTATTGCTAATATATTCAGTAAGAGGAGAATGATTATTATACAAGTGTAATTATCATTTGTATAGGATTTGCAGAAATTGAACTATTTACTGTTGCTGATCTTCCTTCTGATATGACAGTATATCCTCAGCAATACAAACTGGATTGTACTAAAATTGGACACTCTCTGTATGGTATTAGTATGAGCATTGGTAGTACTACACTGGCTAGTTACACCAATTGTGATGATCACCTTAATGATTGTCCTGGTGCTGTGTTAGTTAGTAGTACTAACACAAGAAGATATACTGTTAATATCACATGGGATGGAATGACTGTCAGTAGTCAATCAAGCCATCAATCAATCACTGGAGATCAAATGTATCAGTGTGTATTGGATAATCCTAGTGGTGGTG